GCGCAATCGAAGCGCGTAATAAATTGTCGGGTACTCGCGAATAGCCAAGTTAATCGGTTTGTGATTCAATTTTTCCACTTTTCAATATAGATATATTTTTATTCTCTCTAAAAAGCTAGATAAATGAATTTTCGACGCCTGATGGCTAGAGTTTGTGGTGAGCCTCATCTATTTAAAACTGCACAATATTATTTTTTCAATTTTCCCGTTTGCCCTAGAGAAATCGGTATAGGTATTATTCAACAATTTGCAATGGGTAGATTAGTCTCTGTCGGTGTGATGATCTATTGGGTTTCAGCTCTACCAATATTTTAGTGAGAAAATAAAATCTACTGAGATATTCTTAGAGCAAATTGATGCCTCAAGTCTCTGCATGGAATAAGGGTTGAAGTTTTTACATGGGATGAAGTTGATTTTATTCTCAGTGTGGTTGAATTGTTTGAATAGGGAACGGTAGGAAAATAGAGAAAGTGATGAGTGTTGAAATCAGGGATAAAGTCCTTGAGAATAAATACTAGTGACCGTTGTATTCCAACTATTATTAAAACACCTCCCCTCTAAACATCTGCTCTACCTTTGGTGGAGACATATTCTCGGTCAAACACTCACTGGAAAACATTTATTACATTCTCCTAAGCACCCAGTACCAGTCATATAGTCACAATTCCCCATTTTATGACTTTTAACCGTGACATAAATCACGCAAATATCATACTTAAAATTCAAGAATGATATATCAATAGTAATAGCCCAAGTATTTGCAGTAATAAATAACCAAATGACCATCTAAAAATGAGAATACGAACTGGAAACAATTTTCATCTTCTGCAAATATAGAATAACAAATGAAAAAGAGAATGAAAATTATCCTATTAAAACAAACAATTACTGTAATTATCATAATTACTGCAGTTGCAAGGAAAATCTAGAGAATCAACGAAAAAGGCCCTTTCTACCCCCACCTCGATGGGAAATGAAAATAAAAAAATAAACGAGGATTCAGTTTTAATTATCGCAGCAGTAATTAAAAAATAATAATTTCACGGTGATGTATTCTCACGAGAAAAAGCCACAACGCCTCTAAAAACAGCTGTTAACTTTATCCATCTCGTCACCCAACGCATAATTACGTTTTTCTGATAAATTTGAAATCAACTCGCTCATAACTAGATGTTTACGAGTGGCTTGAACGAAAAATAACAGGTTTATTTGAAGTTTTAACGGTCAAGATTGCGATACCATCGGGCAAATGGTGTTTACAATAGTTGGAATGACAGTGCGAAAAATAGAGAAACAGTATTTGATGTAAACACAATGACTAACCATGAAGTAGTATTGAAGAAATAACAAGTGAAGAATTAAATCGATTCGACGGAATTTGTAATTGACTACTTTGAATTTTTCATCAAGCCATTTCCTGATCTTTTAATCTACCATATCCTCAGAACTACTGGGACTACAGACACTGCGCTCAAAATCTTTGCAATTTCAAGAGCTTAAAAAAACTCGGAATTCATGTTAGCCGTATGTCCAACGGTTCCCACGGAAAATCACGAAAAACGAAAAGACCGACGAGAAAATCGTCTGAGAAAAGTTTAAAAAAAATTTTATCTTTGTATTTGAATATCTAGACATTGGCTGAGTGAAATTCAATATATCACCTCTCATTTTGAAGGTCTCCTAAAAGATCTTCAAAATGGCGGATAATTCACACAAATTGGATCACTGGGTCGGGAGATGGTCCAGCTGAAAGAGCGGCAATATTTAATTTCGTAGTTATGAGCGGAAAGAGTAATAAATTATGAATAATAGACCTCATATCACGGTTCCAAGAGAAAATATCCGTGAAAAACAAGGATCTGGGTAATTTAGCTATTACGTGAGCCCAAGAGACGGTTTCATGCGCTGGACAACACGTGGCGACTCAAAAACTTGACAATTACCTCCGAAAAATGGTTAAAGCAAACGAAAAATTTTCCCCAAAGAATAAATGAACATTCCTCACCAAAAATTATTCCCCAATGCCCCCATTTGAGCACCACGGAGGTGAAGAAAGGTCGTCAGTTCATTGTGTGCGAAATTCAATCCGTGTACCTTCTACCTGAGAAACCGGAGGGAACGGAATAAAGGACTTTGTGCCCGCATGTTGTCGAAATGTTCTCTACAAAGTTTTACCTGGAACTCACGGGAATATCCCTTTTGTCCATAATTTTTCAGGGGATTACCTCAACATTTACAAAACTCGCATGGCAATCCGGAGTACCATCTCCGAATTTTCGCCCAAACCGAATGATCCGATTCGCTACAGACCCGTTTCTCTCGAAATCCCTCAGAAAATCGGCATAATGCAATAAGAATTATCCAAATTCACTCAGCCAATCCAGAGATATCTGATTAAAACAGAAATTCCAATTCCAGGGGATTTTTTCATTTTAATTTGTGCCAAATTCGGAAATTCATTTTGAAACCACAAGAGAATATGATAAGAAAAATTATACGAAATGGATAATATTGGCGAGTTCTCTGTCTCAATTATTAAAAATTATAAAAAATATATTTTATTGTACTTCAGTGTACTAATTAACCCTCCAGGACTAAAGAAATCAATTCCTTTCTTTTGTAGTTTCTTGTGTTTACCAACACGAAAATTTCCTTGGCATTAAAATGTTTCATGGAAGTATTCAAATAGATTCACCGTTGACCAGCAACTCTATTTACGTAAATACATTTTTCACAACTCAATTTGTTTCACAGTGTCCGTATTTATCCTCCTCCACCGAGGAAAAAATATTCTTTCATTAAGAATGTCGCAAACTACCCAAAAATTTACTTGACACTAGTAACTCTCATGGAAGTATTTGGAATGGTAAATGAAAGTATTTTACGTAGATTTACAAGTCAATATATTCGGCAAATCTAATTTTTTTTTCTCAGTCTCCGAACTTGTCCCCCTGTACTCCAAGGATATCCATAAAAACACACGACGGATGGAATGACAATGGCCGTTTGAAAATATCAGACATGCCGAGAGGATGGGGTGGGAGGAGAGTATCGAACGTCGAGCACCCGACGCGACACGACCGAACATAACCTCAAATTCCAATCCCCCAATTTCCCCAGAAAACCCCCAAAGCAGCCCGAAAACCTCCCCGCAACCGTAAAAAAATCATTTCCAAAAATTTCCCCCCACAAATCAAGAAAAAATTAAGCCCCAGGACGTGATTTCTGTAATGGAGCAAAATCCCCGGAGTCTGAAGAAAAAGCAAATGTACGTGAAAAAAATGATGGATAAATCGGACCAAAACGGGGGAAGATCGGTCGGAAGATCGACGTTAAGTGGATAAATGATAATTAATAGTAATTAGAACACTTACAGGGTAGTACATCCCTTGTGGAGGAAGAAAGAACGCCCCAGAGCCCCACAGTTTGAGGCCGTTTTGCTCCACCGTTGTGCAGAAAATATCAACGGATCCAAAAAGATCCTCTCCCACTCCACACTAAATTCAAAAAATCCCTCCGATTTTCGGATTCAACACAGACAACGATGAAAAAAAAAAAGAAAAAAGACACACGTTAAATAAAACCGGTTTTGCTCTCGTTACTCTCCTCTTTGTGCACCGTATTTTGCACTTCACTATTCAGCAAAAAAAAAAAACAACAAGATATTATTTTGCCAATTTATCCCCGCGGTTTTACGATTAATCCACTGTCTTCGGTCTTTCTTGCTCCTTTATTATTCTTATTTTTTTTTCACTGTTTTTGATGTGGGAGGGGAAACAAAACGGAGAACACAAAAGAACGGAAAAAATTTGGCGCGATATCACGTTAACTGATGCATTAAGTCACTGGGGTTTTAATATCCACTGGATTGTTATGGGGATTATTTATTTGTTGGTATGTTGCTTTGTCTCGAAAATCTCGTGGTTTCGAAATTGGTAAACACGCGCTAACCGTCGCCTTGTAATGTTCCGTTGCGACTGAAAATCGTGCCATCGTGCGTCGAGTGGAGCCGGCGGTTCGTTACGGCGCCACATGCGCACCGCTCACTGCGCAACTCACTGCCATCTTTTTTCCGAGGGGTGGGGACAACTTAGGAGGGAGTCAAAATAATTCATTATTACATTCTCCAATAATTGAATTACTAAATTATCAAAAAATTACATTATCAAATTGCAAAATCGAAATTTTAGGTACGTGTCTATTGGCAGAATTTATCAGCGATTCGCATGGAAAACAACACACAAAATATATATGCAAATTTTCTACAAAATATAATACATTATATTTTTTCATTGAAAAAAATATATGTATATTGCAGATCAATTGTACACCTACATATTTTGATAAAAATGCAATATATTACATATGTACAGAATATATGTGACAAAAACGAGAGGAATCAAGATGAAAATCTGCAAACCGTTAATATCGAATATCTCGGGATCGATTGAGTGAAATTATCCTAAAACCCACCAGTTTGAGGGCATTACCTCCCCTTTCGTAACAATTACCATTGTTTGGAAATCGGATCGGCTCGTCCCCAGATATTTTCATAGGAAAAAAAATAATCTTTGAAAATTTGCGGCCACGCAAAAAACTCCGATTCGCTCTTTATTCTCGTGAATTCTGTCAATATAAATAGCGGATGTTTCGTCGATTGACCCAATTTACAAGCGTTGTACCGAGTTGGTAATGCCGGTTGGAGATATCGACCTAATGTCCCACCGGACTGTCTCTCATTCACTCCTGGGAGACAAAGTGCTATAACAGATGAAACTCTGTGGGATTATATCACACCCCCCGAGGCTAACCTCCCACCCCCTTTCATCCCTCCCGCCAAACCGTTGTTACTAATACACGGGTGTTTATATCGTGATGCACGCGAAATATCACGGAAAATGCGTTCAAACTCGCTCAGCCGTGATACGCGTTTTCATTTTTTCCCTCAACTTTTTTCTCTCTTCTATATATTTTTTTTTTTATTTTTGCCAGTGCGGTCGATGCAGACTCACGGGGTTTTCATGCACGCCTTGCCACCTACAAAACTACCTTCCACACTAATAAAATCCACGATGCTCAGAGGCCGCAATAACCTCATATTAAAATTTATAGAGAGAAGGAGAAAATGAGGGAGAGAATTTTTTCCATTCGCCATTTTCCATTTAAAACACACTTTTTTCGCATTTATCACGGGTGGGTAATCAACCGATGATAATTAAAACATTTTCACACTGAAAATGGGAAAAATGATACACGGGATCCCGTCTATGAACGATATTTTCAAAATAAAGTTTGAAAAAATCTAGGCTATCGATTTCTTCCAAATTTTGAGAATATAGTTCTGTATCACATTTATATTTATATTTATATTCATCTTCCATTTATATCGCCCCATTTGAAACATTCCATCGAAATTCGATTTTTAAATTTTTTCTATTTGTAATTTTCTCTCTGATCTTTTTTTTTCGTTTTACCGGGTTTTCATCTCGCATTTCAAGCACACGGTGTCCCTCCCACAAATGCTGGAGTGGGTGAAAAACGATTGAAACAGCGAAATTAGAGGGAACTTTTTCAATATTTCAACGAAAACTTTGGATATTAAAAAAAAATCCTTGTCTCGTGTAGCTGATGAAGAAATAATAGAACATTTCTTTGGTAGTGTTGCTCTAATGGTCTGTCCAGCTGACACGGATGCCGGTACATTCATTCAATTTATCCTTTTTATTTTCATTAAGCCAGTGCCCCTATCGTAATCCCTCGAGGTCGCGAGATAAATAAAAGCAGATGGAAAAATATCCTATTTTCGGCCGGAATCTATTGTCGCAGATACCAATATCCTATAGTTAACGTGTCATAAAATAACAGAAATTTTTCAATAAAAAAATCGTAACTGGGGAATAAAAATGAGAGGCAATATTAAAAATAAAAGTAGTGGATAAAAAAAAATAAATTTCAGCTGGAAGCTCGGTGAAAATAAAACTAGAAAATTCTCGTCGAAAAATCATATTTCTATTCATGAGCGAGTGGAAAAAAATGAGGAAATAAAAAAAAAATCCATTCAATTTAATTCGCAAATTTTTCGGGGATTTTGGTGAAGACTTTCTCATCTCCACGAAATTAACGAGAATAAAGAGAGGAGTGCTCTGAGGCTGATTGAAAAAAAGACGAGGCACAGGAGTTTTGCTGACGTCGATTGAAGGAGTTGAGAGGAAAAAAACGATTACCGGAGGCTGAAGCCACCAATTAATGGGATATCTCATCGGTTTTCAATCTCACACATGTCTCAACAATCTGGAACAATCTTGAAAGGCGAGATAAATCACAAACTCCCCAACTATTCAATAATACGAACAATTAAATTGGTATATTTAACCACTGGAATTTATCCGTTCTAGAGGAAAATACTCGAAAATGGATGAACATGTGGTGGAAAAAAATGCTCGATTCTGTTCTCAATAAAGTAAAAAATTGCCAAAAAAGTAAAACAAAAATGAACTGCACACGTACGAAGAGGTATCGGTGGTACGAGCCACCTGCGAGGGCTCATCCTCCGCATGAGAAGAGGCCAGAGGGGGATGTTACTATTACCCCTATATACCTTTCTGGACTCTTCTCGTATCCATGGCAACCCTGCGAATCATGAAAGAGAGGGCTCTCGGCAAATAGAGCCACATCACAATACTCTGCGTGTCCCCATCCTCTACCCGCGATTGTTAAAAATTTCATATTAAAATACTGTTTTTATTGATTCCCAACCCACGTATCGACATATTCAACAAGAATTCCATAACTCGCAATTCACTCTATAAAAAATCAAAAGTTGGGCTATAATAATTTGTTTCACCCAAAAATCCTTCATTTTTACCCACAAGATTTTATTTTAATTATCGAAAAATCTACTGGAGCCAAACGGCTCATCTTTTTTTTCAATTTAAGGGTAGATTTTTCTGAGGTCATTGGGGTCAATATAGGGACTTCAAATGGGGATGGTAAAAGGGCGGGAAAATTGGGTAAAATAATAATTTTTTTTTTCTTGGTAATATTTGGAAGGGACGATGCGAAACTATGGGAGAGAAATTGTGGGCTGGAGTGCCCGAGGGTTTGTCTCATGCAGTTTTCAAGTGCATCAAGTGATTATTTTTAGAAGCCCCTCGAAGCGGCTTCGAATTTTACTGAGCGAGATGAAATAGTCCTCGACAGGGAGTGAGACAAGGATAAGAATTTGTATGAAAACGTCACAGATGTGGCGCACATGCGCGGAATTACCACCCGAGACGCCATTCAAGCTCCCAGAAATGTCTATCCTCTCGTCTTTCCCATACCCACACCCGGCCAAAACCCTCTTTACATCCACCGTTTTTCCCTCACCGTCTTGAAATGCGACTTTGTTCTCTTCAAGACCATCCCAACGCTATAAATTTTGCATGCGAGACAGTGAGAGAACGGCCTCACCATTTCTTTTTCTTTTTATCATGGAAAAATACTTTTTTTATCTTGACAAATCATCTTTCAGGACGTAAAGATTCCACTCCATTTTACACCCACGAGCATTATTAAACTAAAAGTCATTACCAAATTCGCATGAATTTTTTGGGATTCTGCAGGTAATGGGAGTTTAATGAAATTGTTAATATTTGAATATTTATAATTTATGTTTAGGATTTTACTCAACCAATTTCGTTTAGTAGCTATTTCAAAAGTATGACGCACGCATTGAAGAACCCTGTGGTTAATAATGCCTCTAGATAAAATAGAAAATATTTTTGAAATTTCACTCAGCCGATGGCCGTATAGTGAACGATTGAAACTGAGCGCTCACCCCTATAAAAAGTGCCACCCAATCTAAAATAATCCTCATATCCCCAAAATAATTCCACATTCCGATAAAGCCTCATGTCTTCACCCAAACCCACCATTTTACGAGTGACTTTCCCGTATTCGTGAGAAACGAAACAACCAAAATACAGTCCCGGTAAAATAGAGTGAAATTGCCGGAGAGGGAGGAGTAATAGAGAGATACAGAGTAGTAAGTTGCTCGCAACTTCTGCTCTCACAAGAGATCTTATATATCCTCCTGAATATACAGAGTGAAGTCACGTAACGAAATTACCGTAGCCCGAGGGACAGCTTCACCCCATGGTTTGTCTTTTCAAGACAAACAAGAGGAGAAAGGAGCCAAAGGTTGAAAAAACTCGACGCAGCGTCCGTAAAGTGGAATTTTTCAGACGCCCCAACTTGACGGTGATGCCTGATAAATGAATACCATACCCTAGAATGACCCTATAATATCTCCAACGAATCGAAAGCAATTCCCATCGAGAGCCCCATCGAGAGCCCCATCGAGAGCCCCATCGAGAGCCTCCATAAAGAAAAATGGGGGTGTTTCGAAGTGACGTAGATAATGGAAAAACTGGAAAACAAAAGAGGGTTCCTCATTTTATCCCTCAAGGGGATGACTCCTGGAGCTCCAGAACGGAAGACTCTCGACTATCCATACACGTTAGAGTGAATCTCCAGGTCACCATGGTAACGCCACTTCAGGTCGTGTCCCTATTGCCCGGTGGTACTCCCTCGTAAGGTCTCGGGCTATATGCGATCCGACGAGATTACGAGACATCCCCCCAGCTAACCCTCATCTCTTGGACCCTGAGAATGTATCCAGCTCGTACCAACCCCATGTCATCAGCGTTTGTCGCTGTGTGGGGAGGAAGGTGATTGGGTGAACTGAAATTCATCTCTCTCGTACCCCCTCCACCCCTTCCAGGCACGTGTTTGTGATGTGACACCCATCGAGAGCCTCTCGTGATTGCCTGACAATACGTGAATTGCTTGGAGATCAACTCACTCAAGCCAACACATGTCAGAATCTATTTATCTTAAGACAATAAATAGTGAATTGTTAGCCTAAGGTGAATTGAGCCCTAGGCCGGTCAACCATAACCATTGGATTACTAAGGGAGGTCGT